CCCCAAAACCCCAAAACCCCAAAACCCCATATAAGTGAATAATAATTGGAGTATAATAAAAATGAAGAAGATTATTGCTCTTCTAATTCTTGCACTCGTTTTTAGTGCAGGAAATAGTACAGATCCGATAACAGCTTTAAGAGAAAGGTCCAAAGATGGACACTCTTTGTTTGGGTTTGAGAGACAACTAGGATCTCTTTGGCAAAACTCTGTAACGTGAGGTGTCTGCCACGCAGGTTTGAATGTTATGGATTATATTATGGGCAGTAAAATTGTGAGAAAATCCTTGGAGACTACAGTGTCTTTGATCTGCTCCATATTCTCTGAGTATGAAGTATGCCATGGAGCTATTACTGAGATGGGTGATGTAATCTGGCCACAGATTTTCAGCTTCTTATTTGGAGCCAAATACAGTTGATCCAGATTCGCTGGGGTATGAGCTAGTCCAAAATATATCACATTAGACCCTCAAAATTATATCGATAGGGTACTTTCTGACAAACCAGAATTTTTGAATGATAATAATTATGTTGACCTTCAATACCAGAAAATAGCTCAAGATAAGAAGCCAAGAAAAATAGTGAAAGTTATGCATATTTCAGATGTCCATCTTGATTTCAATTATTTAGAAGGAACAAATGCTCAATGTAATGAACCTTTGTGCTGCAGAGCTTCAAGTGGAAAACCAAAGAACCCAGAGGACGCTGCAGGTAAATTTGGAAGTCTTGCTGATTGTGATCTTCCTCCAATCACAGGAGAGATGGTATTCGACTTTGTTAAGAGTCTTGATGAAAAGCCTGATGTTCTATTTTGGACTGGTGACAACGTTGCACATGACATCTGGAATCAAACTTCTCATGAAAATTCTGATTATACAGTAAAGATTAGTGAGTGGCTCCAAGAGCATCTAGGAGATATCCCTGTATACCCTACTCCTGGAAACCACGAGTTCTTCCCAGTTAATGCAATGAGCTTTGATGAGAAAGACGATGTCATTGAACAACTTTCTAAAGTCTGGAAAAGATGGCTAGATGATGATGCTTTTGAATTATTTAAAAAGTATGGTTACTATTCAATGCCATTAAGAGGAGAAACAGAAACATGGGATGGCTTCAGAGTCATTGCTTTAAATACTGAGACATGCAATCACCAAAACTGGTATCTATTCAGTCAACTCAATGATCCTGGAGATATGCTTGCATGGGTTGAGGAGGAGTTCAAAAAGCTCGAGCAAAGTGGAGAAAAAGCTTTTGTCATTGGACATGTTAAACCAGGAGAAGACGCTTGTTTGTATGAGTGGTCGATGAGATACAGAGCTTTAGCTGAAAGATACCAACATGTAATCGTTGCTAATCTATTCGGACATACTCATACGGAAGATATCAATTTATTCTCAGATAGTACTAATGAAAATATCACACACATGGTGTTTACACCTGGTAGCTTGACAACATACAGTGATCATAATCCTCAATTCAGAATATATGATATTGATTATGCCACTGGTTACCCTGTAAGGGCACACAAATATTTCTTCAACATTACACAAGGTAACCTTGGAGACCCAAAATGGGAGAAACAATATGAACTGACAGAAGAATATGGGCTCGAAGACATGTCTCCAGCAAGTTTCCTAAAGCTTACAAACAGCTTTAAGGAAGAAGTTGGCCAAGTTACCAAATATCTTTGGAACCAGAATGGAAGAGCTTTCGACATTTCCAAATACGACTGCTCAGATAATGAATGCATGATGAAATATTACTGCATGATTAGAAACATAATCTATCTGGAATCTAAGGATTGCTTGGGCAAGAAGAGACTAGACTTCATCTACGACCTAGAGAAATCTCTCTACGAATGGTTCTTTGGCCCATGGGTCGAAAAGATTGAATAATTTTACCTTCTCATAGTTCAAAAGACAACTCTTTTCCATTCAATTTAGGAACAATATTTTGGGGTTTTGGGGTTTTGGGGTTTTGGGGTTTTGGGG